CCCTGAATTCAGAATAAAAAAACCTCTCATTAACGGAAACGAAAATCTTCAAGTTCACCTATAACAAAAAAAAAAATATGAAATAGGGCTTTTTTGTAAAAATAAAATAATTTCCATTTGGCATTTAAAATTTATTGACAGCAAAAACATTCCATGATTTATTGTAAAATTCAGTACGTGCCTTCAAAATTCAACTGGTCAGAATACATAACCTCAAATATTAGAACCACAATGCATTCGTTTAGAAAACACAAAAAAAAAAAACAATTTGTTTATTTCTTCTAAATATTAAATATAAACTATTCGTCCAATGCTACATTGCTGATGCCAATAATAGATAAACTTATTTTATTTTTTTTATTTGCGTCATCTTTCGATCAAATCTGCATAGAAAATTTATTCAAGGATTGGTGTATTATTGGCCATTTATTTTCGACCATAAATCATCGTAGTGGTTGAAAAACATGAATTAAAAAGTGTTCCTTTATCTTTTTTTAATTCAAAAATGTCTGTCAATAAAAAAGAAGAACAAAAAGAAATTACAAATCCAAGTCTAGACAATCATTTAACTGATGAAGACCTATGTCGAATAAAAGATTTTCAAGTTAGAGATTTACAAAAAAACGCGAGATATATCCGTCCTTTTCAAGCCACATTTATCGATGAACGTAATAATAATCCTGTGAAACGATTTTGGGAAGCTATTGATGCTCATGTAAGTCATTAGTTAATACTACAATCATTTTAAATTTATGTAGTTTTTTTTTAACTGACTAATTTTATTTAATCATAGAATTCAGTTGTTATCATTGTTTATAATCGATCAACTGATGCTCTTGTTTTCGTTCGTCAATTTCGTCCAGCTGTTTATGTTATGATTAGTAAAGAAGCACAGAATGCTTCATCTATAACTGATATTGATTTTACAAAACAAGATCCTAAATCTACTATTACTTATGAGTTTTGTGCTGGAATTGTTGATAAAAAACATTTATCCAATAAAGAACATGCACATGTTGAATTACTTGAAGAATGTGGTTATTCGGTGGATATTAATTCAATTGAATCAGTGGCAAAATACCGAACAGGTGTTGGTACAGTTGGAGCATGTCAAGAACTTTTTTATGTTGAAGTAACAAATGAAATGAAAACGAATACAGGTGGTGGAAATTTATCCGAACAAGAACGTAAGATAAAATCAAAAACATTAATATCATTTTTATTTTATTTTATTTTATTTATATAGTTATCGTCGTACACGAAATTCCCGTTGACGAACTTTATCAATTTTTATTTGACGAAACAAAGGTTAAAGAGTCGTCATTAATGTTTGGTGTGATGTGGTTTTTACACAAAAAGGGACGATTACCATAAACTGTGATAAAAAGAAATTGATATTTGTTTCTTGATAAATCAATAATAAAAAATTGACAAGTTTCGATTGTTTTGTTTATTAAAAAAGTTTTCATGAACTTACCAAAACGATTTAGAAATTCTTGAAAAAGTGACTCAATTCTAAGATTAACGACTTCATTCTTACATAGACTTGTGGTATCCATTGCTGTCTGTACCAGTAAGAAAAAATGTATCTCGATATTTTATGGCGTTCGCAAGTCATCTGGACAAACAAGTGAAGTGAAAAAAAATCTGGTTGTGATTGAGTATTTTCATGCTCAATGGGTTTAGTATTGTTATTTATTTATCTTTGGTGCTTATAACAATTTGTCTAATGGTCTATAATTTTTGCTAACATTGTTTTGTACTTAACAATAAAGTTTTTCTTTTTCGTAAAAAGTAAGTTTAAAATATGTATGTATCGTTGATGATTTTATGTGATCATGTATATTCATTCAGTTGAATGTGTAGTTTGTCCTTGTAATATCATTTTAATCATGATAGTCTGTCTGTATTTGGAAAATTATCGCTATGATTGGTCGATTTTGTAATGTATATATACGACATCATCGTTTATGATATAACGATTTCATAAAATTTTCTTAATAATATTCATGTCAATCAGAGTAGGATTGAACGTTGGTACTAGCACTTCGTTAGTTTAATTAAATGCAAAAAATACACGATAGTAGATCTTTCAAATTGTTCCCATGAAAATTTCTCGTCGCTGACAAATCTTTTACAATGCATTCTATATATTTATAAGATTTAGCAATAGAGATTTTTTAAAAATTGCATCTGCCACGAAAACAGAAACTTCTCTTGAAAAAAATTTCTTCCAGCAGAATATCGATATTCATGTATATTTAACTTCTACTTAAATGTCATATTTCAGATATTGAATCACGTGTATTTGCATGTTTATTATATTTATAAGTATTATTTGACAAAACTAGTATGACAAAATGAATGTTAAAATCAGTAAAAGTGCAATACAAGTTCTATAATTAAAAAGTCAATGTGTCTAATCATGTTGATGCATCCGGCTTCCTTTCATTTACTACTAGGATCGTGCTGTACCAAAACTTAAGACGAAATATTATCTTGTAAAATTTTGCATGCTGTGTAGTCTAATTGTGACGATAATCAACTAATTATATTTGATATAATAGAACTTCTCAAACTGGACACAGTTAGCTTTGCTTAGAGGATGGCACGTGCTGTAGCATAGATAGTTAGATAAAATATTTAATGAAAAGACTTTCTACACAAGAAGCATTTTTTACGATGTACGTTAGAGTGCATTTCTTTATGACATCGCTCAAAGTACTATTTAATTGACCTAAAATTTTATTAAATAAACTTCGTTTTATAGTGTGTTCAACTACAAAAAATTCTGTCGGACGTTATAAGAAAAGCATATCAGCATGACGGATTTTATGCACCGTAGTCATTAATTTTTTGTTTTTTATTCAAATAAAACATACATTATTCGATAAAGTTCATCAAGCTACCTCAAAAAAATTGAATTTTATTAGTGGCTAATATCATGGAACAAACCATTAGAGAAAACACTCGAATAGATCGTGATTCAAGATGTTTTAAAGGTGCTACTAACTGAACTTTTTTTGTCAGTTTAATGAAATGTATACCATTCAATAAAGACTTCTTTGAGTGATACCCAATGAGTTGCATTTCTGTGTTGACCAACTTTATAGACTCAATCATCGCAAAAACAAACTTTCTACTATTTTACTTTCATCAAAGACCTAACTATACTACTCACTAGAGCTCGTCAAATGACATTTGGCTAATTGAATGTCTCAGTTGACTAAATTAATGGAGTGAATTATTTTTGAAAAAACTCGAATCTACGATTAACTTTTCCTAACGTTATTGAGAGAGTATTTTTTTTCAAGAGCAAATATTAACGTGATTCTTCTGTCAATAATATACTGCCTTCTCTTCGGCTTTTGACGTCTTTTCGTTTATTATTTAAGAAAAAAATCATTAAAAAAACTATTCAAATGACCACAGAGGTTTTGTCACACGATAAAAAAAATATGCTTATGTTTTGATTGTTTTTTAAAAATCAAGTATGATTCGTAATGATTGATTCGATTCACGTCGGTTGAGATAAATAGACATACATAGTCTGATTTGTTAAAGTACACATAAACTCTTCATATCATCGCGCATGTAAACTGTACGAACAGTTTCCATTATTATTGACTTATGAAAATCGATGAATGAGACAAGAGATAAAAATGATTCTACTTTTAAACATATGTCATCACCTTTTCTCTTTTCGACTTTATCATAGATTATATTTTCAAATTGTATTTTATGATCTAGACAATTGAGTTTGATCTATGATTTTTGCATCTGAGAAATTATTTGTAATTTCTATTTTCTTCAATGTGGATCATTTAGAATGGAGAATACAAAAAGCATATTGTGATTTTCGTAATCGTATTCATTGGATTCAACATATTATTATTGATCAAAAATGTGCATAAACAATAATAATTTATTGCGTATACAAACTGAAGTAGAGATCAAACATTAGTTAAATTATTCATAGTGAAATAATGAAATAGAGATGTGCTGAAAGATTAAAAATGCCAATTGAGATGCAATGTAGAAAAATGCGTAATTTCAATCTCAAGAAATCTTTCATATAGAGAATAATCGACAGATAAATATAGATTTTTATAGTATTGGTGAGATGTTTGGCCTATGCTTATTTCAAAACTTCTTTTAAACACGACATTGAAGGTGCTAAAGTACAGAAAGAGACTATTATACTCATTAATTCTCAATTTATATATCGTGACATATAAGATGATATTCTTTTAGATTTCTTGTCGTAGCAGCTGCCACTCTTTTGTTTTTAATCATTATAGAATTAATTTTGTTATCTGTCATATTTTTTTTCTGTAAGAAATTATATTGATCAATTTTATTTTAGTATCTAAAATCAAAAATAAACACAGAAAACAAACAACTATCAGAACGATTTAAGTGTCCACGTTTAATTTCTCAATGAATTACACTTGAATATTTCTTTCTAAAACAGAATTACAACGAAATTTCAATGACATATAATTATATTGAAGTATTTTATAGTGGTATCATTATCTTCATTAGCATCATTCACCTTTTCATTTTCTTTCTAGTAATTAGTATGACCATTGTGCTGTATTTGATCCAACATTTCAATGATTACAAATACAGATTCAATATAACTTAAAAGCAAGATTAAGATAAGCTAGCTTTGAACAATGTCAATTTTTATCTTTCAAATAAAATTAGTTTCATTAAACATAACTAATCATTCAAGATCAAATAAGATATATTCTTTTTTATATAATACATCTAGAGAGTATGTATGTCAAGACTAAAATGTTTTATTCATAAGAAGTTTATCTGTAAAGAGACTCTCTATAGGCTGTATAATTAGATTCATTTACCATCAAAAATGTGACTAATACATCCTATCCATCCTTCAAAACATATAACCCCTGCCGTTACTTTTAATTAAAACATTTTTGCATAAAAAGTTCTAGCAGTAAAAAGAATTAGATTTCATTGCTAAAGAAACGATGAATGCAACAATTCAAACCAATGGAACCTTATCAAAAGCATTGGAAGCATTGCGTTTAAGTACAGCTGTTCTAGGAGTATTAATTTATGTTGCTGGATTTATTGGAAATTTTTTATCATTTTTACTTTTCATACAAAAAGAATTACGTCAAGTGTCAACAGGTCTTATTTTTTTATTACTTAATATATTTAGTACAATACATCTATTATCATTAATTGTTGAATTTCTTTCAAGCATTTTTGAATTTCAAGTTTTGCCATACGATATATTTCGATGTCAGTTTATATTATTCCCTCGACTGTAGGGAGGGTCATATGAAAAAAAATAGTTTGTGTGTTTGTGTGTTTGTGGCAGGGTCAAAAGAACATACCAGAGAGGTTAGCTTATTTTAAGACTTTTGGTCGTTTTGAGTGAACTTTGCCATAGGTTATCGAGGGCCCTGAATCCGAATCCATTGCCCATTTCGGTGGCCGAGGTCTCATTAGTTGAAAACCGACCAATCAGAAACGAACTTTCTTATTTTAAGGCTTTTGACCTTTTTGAGTGAACTTTGCTATAGGTTATCGAGGGCCCTGAATCCGAATCCATTGCCCATTTCGGTGGCCGAGGTTTCATTGGTCAGGAACTGACCAATCAAAAACGAACTTTCTTATTTTAAGACTTTTGGTCGTTTTGAGTGAACTTTGCCATAGGTTATCGAGGGCCCTGAATCTGAATCCGAAGTCCAATTTTTTGGCCGAGATTTCATTGGTCAGGAACCGGCCAATCAGAAACGAACTTTTTTTTATTTTGAGACTTTTGACCGTTTTGATCGAACTCTGCTATAGGTTATCGAGAGCGCTGAATTTGAATCCGAAGGCCATTTTTTTGGCCGAGATTTCATTGGTCGAAAACTAACCAATCAGAAAAGAACTTTCTTATTTTAAGACTTTTGGCCGTTTTGATCGAACTCTGCTATAGGTTATCGAGGGCCCTGAATCCGAATCCGAAGCCCATTTTTTTGGCCGAGATTTCATTGGTCAGAAATCGGTCAATCAGAAAAGAGCTTTTTCATTTTAAAACTTTTGGTCGTTTTGAGTGAACTTTGCTATAGGTTATCGATGGCCCTGAATCCGAATCCGAAGCCATTTCTTTGGCCGAAGTTTCATTGGTCGGAAACCGGTCAATCAAAAAAGGAACTTTTTTATTTTACGGCTTTTGGCCGTTTTGATCGAACTTTGTTAGAGGTTATCGAGGGTGAGAAATCCGAATCTGGAATCAGGATTCCAAAATTCAGATCTCGAATCTATTCGTTCTATGAGAAGTGATGTTGAGAAACAGCAAGTACTTTGTAATACGTGACAGTAGTGTAATGAATCAAGAAATACGAAGATAAGATGAAATTAGAGTGCTTGTAGAACAAAGATTGAGGAATGAGAGCGAGTTACGCAAAAAATTATTTAGATTGACAAAATACAACGACTGTGTCCACTTATTCAGAATATTTCAGATTATCGGTAAATCTATACTAACGTGTCCTCTTCCTGAATACTGATAAGCTTCCAAAGAAAATTTCTAATGTGGATGAATTTTTTTTGTAAAGGATCAAACTTTCCATCAGTTTTTAAAATAGGAACGATGGCTCGATTTTGAAAATGGTATCAACCTTTCGTGAGTGAAAGTAGCTGGAAGTAGCGGATAGCCGTGAATGGCGTTCCTTCGGAAGGACGGCGAACGAATAGCTGCCTCTAAACTAGGTTTATTCAAATCTGTTTTACGACATTTCTGCATAACATCAAGCAAGGTCCTTAAAAGAGTGCCACAGAGACTTAACATGTGACATTTTATGTAGAGAAGGACTCCTATAAACATGGAGAAACTCGAGAGACGACACGTATATATTTAATAGATATCTTGCTGGATATAGGAAATCTAGTACCCTTTAGTTACGAGTAGAGAAGCTTTTGAAGCAGTCGAAATGTGGATTAGTCATGCCTTGAATAAGAAAGTAGTCATTTGAGAATATGTGTTCAAAGATAGTAGTAGCTAAGTGTGAATAGCGCCACGTCGAAACTCCGACAGTGAAATATAGTAGCTTCTATTTCTATTTCACAATTTTTTTGGTATGAGATATGGTCTATTAAGCTAGTTTTTTGTGTAAAATCATATACTTAAGCTTCTTTCGATGGCGAGCTCCATGAAATCTTAGATTGACTAGCTAGGTAAAGGATTGAAACGCATAAGGAATAGTTCACAAGTATTTTCACTTTGGGATTTCTCATGCGATAAATATAGGCAGCTTTGAAACTAATCCAAATCTAGAATCCAGTAAAATTTAAATAACAGTGCATGATTATATAATTACTGGAAGAGAACGATGCATAACAGCAATTAGTTGCGCGTGACGACCCACTCGGATGCCGACGAGTGACTAGCTGCTGCCCTAAAAAATCCTTTGAATAGAATTCTTTTAAACTTCTAATCCATTGGAAGGATCTCTAGCACTTAGATCTTACTAGGATTCATGGGACGAAGAACTGGCAAGAGGGTTAACAAGTGTATTTGAATGAAGTGTGAGAACGAGTGTGTTGGAGATCTTCAATATCTGAATCGAACATTTCCTGAAAAGCGTCAATAATACAATTTGCATCGAATTATCAAAAGTGGACTTGAATGGAATTTAATAATCCTTTATCTTCATAGATACGTCATCTGCCCATTGACTTGTCAAATTTTTTTTCCGGCTATTTAAAATTCGTTATTTAATCTCACAAAGACTCAGAGTTGAAGCCTGATTCTACTTGCGTATGCCGGATATTAGTTTGAACAAATATAGCTTTTTAGTCTGATAGCTACGCTAAACATGCATTTTCGTAGTGGGTACCGGTCAGCGATATTGCCCGCCTATGTGTTTATGAGTATGCGTATTATTAATACAGTTTGCGTGAAGTGTAGTGCATCTTTACTGCAGTCACGATGATATTTTTTGTCTGCTGATTTTCTCTGAAAATCGAATATACTATTTTTTCGTGGTTTGAGGATATTGCTGTGTCAGTGTGGGTCACGTAGATTTCTTTTGAGTGTTATTGATAGAGTAACAGATTAAATGAACGAATGTTATGGCTAGCAGTATTACAACGGTACCAATAGCATTATACACGCCGACACATGTGTACACTAATGTTGACACTAGCACAAAGCCATGTGCAAATGCCCGATGCTACCTTTTGCAAAATGTCTGCAGTAATAAACAACTGCCGATGCAGTGAAATATTCAGTCGAGGGTTAAGCGAGTCACACAGACGAGCGTTACTTGTGGTTACAAAATACAACACGTACAATTTGTTCATTTTTAGCGACTACGGTATCAATCGATCGTTTTATACGGTCAGAATACCCAGCTCAATCACGTACGTGGTGTACAACAAAAAATGTTCTTAAACTTTTTGTAATCTATTGTTTATTTTCAATGTTATTATATGCATTTTTTTTTCATCCAATGAATGTATTGGATAGCGATGATCATTGTTCGTATCCATATGATGATACATTTCGTCTGATTGTTCTGAATATTGCGCCACCAATTCGCTTCATATTAATTTGCGTTATACCATCTATTCTTATGGTTGGCTGTGGTGGTCGAATGCTTTATAATATCCAACAGTCAAAAAAACGCGTTGTACACAAAACAACGACACAGAATGCACCTATCGCAACTATTGGTATTCGAATATTTAGTCAAAATAACAGACATGATGAAAATCAACGACAAACAAAAACTGTTAATCGTATGTTGGTTTTAATGGTATTAGCAAATATAATATCGTATATTGTAACGCAAATACCATTCAACATTTATGTTCTTTATTATGGTTATGAGACATCAAATGATTTTACATTTTATGCCTTAATGCGAGCATTTCTTCTCATGTGGAGTTCAGCCTATTTTGGCATTGGTTTTTATTTGTTTTGTATAACTTCAGCACAATTTCGGAAACAATTTCAAACAATAATTAAAAAATTATGTATTTGTTATTATCCTCTGCAACGCCGAGTAAATACATGAAAAACTAAATCAACAAAAGCTTTACTAACTTCATTCATCTTTATTTCTCCAGTAGAAATTCTGATGTTAATGCAACAAGTAACGCGACGCATACGTCGCTAACCCTCTACTGAAAGGATGTGATTTCCTTGAACATATGGTACTCACGAAGAAGAAGATCACAGAACTAATATGCTGCTATGCATCTATAAAAAGATAAATAGTTCTCGTCACCATGACTCGCTTGCTAATTGATTGGGTTTGATTTAACCATCTTGGGGTGTGGATGTGCGTGGGTGTGTGGGACGTGTGGGTTTGGGTTGTGTGTATGGGTGTGGGGTATGAGTGTGGGCATGTGTCTTCACTTCATCCATACTCAGACACACCCCACACTCACCCACCAACCCACACCCCACAATGGTTAAATCAAACCCAATCAATTAGCAAGCGAGCCATGGTGACGAGAACTATTTATCTTTTTATAGATGCATAGCAGCATATTAGTTCTGTGATCTTCTTCTTCGGGAGTACCATATGTTCAAGGAAATCACATCCTTTCAGTAGAGGGTTAGCGACGTTTGCGTCGCGTTACTTGTTTTTTTGAAAAAACTCATCAAATTTAAAGAGTTTAAACTAGTTGTGATAAAGAACATTCTCGAATTCTATCATTTTGAAAATAATCTGGATAGAGAAACCGTAATATAGTTGAGGAATCAAAAAATAGATGTTTTGAAAAATATTAGCCGTCTTTCAACGCTAGATTTCTCTAGGGCGAGCACCCTTAAACGATTCGCTAGACATTTAAATGTTGTACCATCATCAGAAGCAGACCTCGAATTTCAGTTGCTTATCCTTGACTAAGTCTGATCAAGCTTAATACAGACATATGATCATATTCAGTTGTTTGGGATGTCATATTTTCTTATCCTGAACTCTGACTTTCCTGAATAAAACGGAGAAAGAAACATTTATGTGGCTTTTTAAGTGGGATATGTATTGCTATATGATTGTTTCTTTAAGAAAACTAAATTAGATATCCTTTAGTTGTTTCCGTTTGTTCAGCGAGTTCGGTAGCATGACCAAGTGGCGACCACCCCAAATTAGAATAACTTGAAAAAAACATATTTTTTTCAAAATTATAGTATTCTGCACAGCTTCTTGAAACCTTTAGGACGGCACAACGACATCTATATTTGCTCACAACACAACAAGCAAATAACGCCCTGCTAGCATTCACAAATCTTTTACTGGATAGACTATATTACGTCAAATGTCTAATGAGGAATTATTTTGGTTCAAGAATCAGATAATTTGACAATTTCTGAAGGTGCCTCAACTTTCACTTATTATAGTTACGATAAGCCTTCTAAATCAACGTCTAGTCGTTCGTCGGCCTCCCTCCGGTCGGCCACTCACGACTAGCCGTTTCCATATATGGTTTATTTTTCTGCCTACCATTTGTCACATTAGTACTTTGATGCGCAGAAAAAATAGTTCACTCATGACGTATCGATATGTAATCAAAAATTTCCAACATTTAAATAATGTTGTGTACTTTTCGTCATAGTTTTCAGCTTCTTTTTATTTTAACAAAATGATATGTTGCCGAATTTGTTTTCAAACCAGCATTAGTTAAGTTCTTCTGAGAATCTCCCTAAACCGCTTCAGACTCATTTCAAAATTATGCTCTAAAATAACCTTCTAAGTCAACGTCTAGTCGTGCCCACATTTAACGCCATTAAATTGTTTAATATTACTTCAGGTTTGAAGCGAATAGATGTATCTCGTTTGAATTCCTTTCGAAAATTTACTGAGCATATGTTAATACCCTCATCAAGAAGAAACTAAAAAAAAGAGAACTATTTATAAATTGCTACAAATAGAGTACATTACATTGTGTTAGAAAAGATTTTCGTCTGTTTTAAATGTTATTTTACATTTGATGCCTACGAAGAGTCAATAAGTGGACTTCAAGTGACCACTTCCTTTTCTACATATCCACGTATAAATCTTACCCAAAGACTTGACGTTTTGTAATCAACAAGGAAAAATACTTATATTAAAAGCAATTTCGAGCATGGATTCGCGACCCTCGACTATCCTTAAGCCAAGCTTAAAATAAGAAGGAATTCATTAAAAGAAGCTTTAAAAAGGCCAAAAAGGCTTCGATTAACTTCGAATTCGCATTTTTGATGCTCGATAATGATCAGCCAAGTTTTATAGAAAACAATGATACGTTAATTTATCATTAATTAATAACTGCCAATATTGGAAAGCTGACCTCAGATTTGCATTCCTCATAGCCGATTCTCTTTAGTAGAGTTTTACTGGAGACAGTTAATATTACTGATTATTACTTATTCGATAAAAACAACTGAGTTTTGACTTATCGATCTTCGATTATCTTGGATTAAACTTATTAAGAAAAGTATAAAACTAATTCCTGATTGTTTATTAACTTATTATTAAAATCACATTTGATTGAGATTTACTATATTTTCCTTCGATTACTTTTCGTAGAGCTTTTTATAGAGTATCAGAAGTTTTTGATATCAATCTAGCCGACACCGTTTTCCCATTGGCTAGGGTGCATAAATATACAAACAGACTTTAGAATCAGCCATACATGTAGAACTGCAAACTTATTTTATGTTATATCATCTCTCTCCTTCAATCTAAGAAAAAAACTATTATTTTCTTAAAAAAACCTTCCGCAGCCAAAAACTCATTTCGAAAACTGTTACGAAAACTCCTGATGGATTCAGATTTCTCAATCTCTGAAGTCTTTGGTCAAACCTTATAGCAAACAGTTTTTTTCGTAAAAAACTTTTTCCTTGTCTAAAAAGGTCTGTCTCAAAAACTAATCACGGATTCAGATTCGTCGACCTCGAAGACGTTTGTTCAAACTTTATGAAAAAAAAACATCGTTTTTTACCAAAAAAAATGATTTCGAACAATTTTCAAAACTAATACTACCAATCGATTCCTCGACCTCGAAAACGTTTGATCAAACTTTATAGTAAAACATTTTTTTTACTAAAAAACCTCTCTTTTTCGTAAAAAACATCTGTTTGAAAAAATTTTCAAACACTAATGTCAACGGTCGATTCCTTGACCCCAAAAACCCGTGGTAAAGATTTTTACGATTTGTGAAACACTAGTCTAGTTGATATACGCACCTCTATTTTCTGATTGGTTAGGACAGACAGGCGGACAGACAGGCGGACAGACAAACTAAGGATATTTACCGCCGTATAACTCTTTCTTTCAGAAAAGGGAAAAAGCGTAAACCATAAT